CCATTCTCCCAGATCATCAGGTAACTTTCCTTATTATACCCTGACCAAAGCATCGTCAAACATGAGTGAAAACCAACCCCCAAGACCAGCTGAACATGAGAACAAAGTTGAGGAGATAAAATGGGGGAGAAGTACATTAACATACTCCTCAGGCCATGACTAACAATAGTAAATACACTGTACATTGAAATACAATCAAACAATGTCTCTGTTGATTTCATCACTACAAAGCTGAAGTCATAAACTGTCAAATGACACCAAACATGACACAGTTATATGAAGGAAGATCACGAGCAGATGAACTGTGTATGGTGAAGAGCACATGGTTACTGTAAGCCGGGGGTCAGCAACCCGCGGCTCTGTAGCGCTGCCCTTGTGGCTCCCTGAAGCTTTTTCAAAAATGTTCAAAAAGATGGGGAAGGTTAGTATATATCTTTGTTTTAATATGATTTCTATAGGAGGACAAACATTTTTAACGTTTTCAAATGCTGTAAAAGTGTGTAGAATTAATATTTAATTTCAACATTTCTGTCAACGAAGATTTGCGTCATAGCCTGCGACACAGGTTTCTATCAGCAGGGCGGGATGCCAGGCAGGTGGCTGTTGTAAACATACCGGGAGATAATAAAGCATGGAAAACCGTTCACAGATGGTGACCAACCACCTGATTTCAGTGGCTATTTAATCATGAAGGCTCATTATGTATTTGTAGCCAACTTAGTCATTTTTATAGTAGGCTAATATAGCTACTATATATACATACAGCATGTGTTTCCTTCATTATAAGGCTTACATAAGGCTTTACATTTTTTGCGGCTCCAAACATATTTGTTTTTGGGGTTTTTTTTGGTCTAATATGGCTCTTTCAACATTTTGGGTTGCCGACCCCTAAGCAAATGGCAGAGATGTGTATTGGAGCTGTGAGGAACTCTGCCACTACAGGAGGTCCCATCCCATGTATGGAATGTCTCAGTAGTCCTTCATTAGCATAGAAGGAATATATAATAGACGAATATAAAATATTTTCTCATCTTACAGGAGCACTGTACAAATATGGTAGTGCTGTTGACGCATATGTATTGATAGGTGTTTTGAAGACCTATCATAAGTGACCACTAGATGGCAGTACGAGGCCATGGTAAGCCTAGTTGAGTTATGTGAGAAGAATAAAGCATTCTGACAAAAGTACTCGGTGTGTGAGCCTCGTCAATACATGGTACCAGGAGAAATAACGAAAATTAAAAAGAGAGATGATGAATAACATCCGTTCACCAGAGGAATTGAAGTTGACGGGAAATGTCAATGAGAACTGGAAAGTTTTTAAACAAAGTTTTGAACTTTATGCGCTCGCTATAGGGCTGGATGGAAATGAACGGAGGAAGATTGCGTTGCTCTTAACAGTGGCAGGACGCAGTGCACTGGATGTGTATAACACGTTTGTCTTTACTGAAGAAGAAAAAGATAAATATGAGGCTGTGATAGAGAAGTTTGAACAATACTGCACACCGAGGAAAAACGAGACCTATGAAAGGTATGTCTTCAGAAACAGACTGCAGAAGGAGTCAGAATCCATTGAGCAGTATGTTACAGATCTGAGATTAAAAAGCCAGACATGCAATTTTGGAACGCTGTGTGACTCCATGATTAGAGATCAAATAGTAATTGGAGTACAAGATAAAAGAGTGAGGATG